TCAATGCAGTGCTGTATCTCTAGTTGTAGTGGCTTCAGTAGAGGCTTTGAGAGTGATACTGCATACACAGTACTCACTAGCACAGTATTAGGAGGAAACTGGAACTGTCCTCCTACAAGAGCAACCACTGCTGCTTCCACTGTTTCAGAGGGCAGTAAGCTGTCTTCTTGTACTCCAATCCTTAGACCATATTTCTCCCAATTCATCAGTTGAGGTTTGTCTCCTTGAATTAAGAACAGCTTCTTCTCTGCTACCTGGACATCACTCAGACATTCCAAATTATCTATCAATTGTATAAAACACACAGTCACACACATAATAACACTACTCACTGGTATGTCTTAGAATGCAAATAAACATATTAAGGTGAATTTAGAAAATGATCTTCAGAATAAGTTCAGATATACATGTATGTACATGTACATTTAGTACCATGACTTTTAAAAATTGAGGTGCAATCCCTTACAAGGCTATCAACCACAAAAATTAGAACAATAATGGTCACTAAGGGCAAACCACATAATACTAGAACCACAAAAATAACCTGCTATAAGCTACTTGTAAGTAATCTTACCCATTGAAGGGATCATGTAGTTAAATTGTATTCCAACTGAGTTAGTTCCCTTGATGCTAAATAGATCCTGTTCATGTAGAGTGATATCTATCTTCTCTTTCTTTACAATCACTTGATCTTCTATACAAAATGATCATAGTAACATGATCATAATTATACTCATAGTAGAAAAATGGCTAAAACATTACTGACCTAAATAAATCTTTTCATCAAAGTCTTGATCCTGTAGTTCAATGACTTTATCCTTGTATTCTCCAGGAACTATATACAAGAGGAACAATTAAATATATATGTAAAAAAATCAAAGCTGATTTAAATCACATAATATATGCAGAGCTGGACTGATAGTGCAATTATATGTACATGTACCTTTAGTGAATTGCACAGACTGCTTCTCTTCATCCTTTTCATAATATAAACTCTTAGCTTCCTGCAGTTGTGATTCAAGTCTTTGTATCATTTCATCTTTTTCAATTAGAGCAGCAGCACTAGAGACTAAAAATTTTAATAACTAGAAGTAATGTAGAACATTAAGGGGTGAGCCTAAGCTAGCAAAGCAATCATAGCACTGGATCTATCCATCTATGATCTACTCCTGATGATTTCAAAGCATGCATCATGATTTAGGTATAGCACTGAAGCATGCCGCATGTACATGATGAAACCTAAAGATGATAAAATCAATTCATATAATTTATTTTATTTAACTTTTAATCTTCTAGTTTCACATACACATTTCTTGCCTATAAATGTCTGTAAAGATGCTTTACTTAGCTTTAGATATAATATTATCCAATGTTAACTTATGAGATGACTGAGAAAAAGCTTGATTGACTTTCACAGTTTTAATAGCAATTGCATCAATAAAGACGAGCTTTATAGGTTATTAATTGAATTTAAAACCTTTTATAACTGCTGGAGAAGTCTTTGGACGGTGTATCTGCCTTATATTGCTGCTAGAAAGCTCATGAATTCTTCCAGTGTGTTGGTTGCCATTTTTATTTTACTGTGACCGCTCCCACTTTCAATGAAAAATTGAAAATTGCATTGGTAATGCATAGTATCTGTTTACCCTATTAGATCTACGCATAAATAGGGGTGACGTACGAGGACAGACAGACAGACAGAGTGAGGGACAGACGGGGCGTGACTGAGAGTATAGCTAGAGTGGGGTGAGCTCAGGCTCGCCCCAATTAGAAAACAAGTACCGTATAGCGGGTTATTTTTGAGGATAATAAATTTTGCAAATTTCACAGATTTTTTAAGATTCGCGAAATTAAATTCCTTGAAAATCAATTTAATACAGTACTTACAAGTTGGCAGAATAGTAGAAATTCGCGAAAATTAATTCTGCGAACTTCCGGATATGGGTCATTCGTGACATTTATTACCCTCGAAATAAACCCGCTATATGGTATACCGTAAATCTTCTAAAAATTCGGCAAATTAAATTCACCTTAAAATCAGTAATATTGGAAAATTAGAGGTTAAAAATGTTTTTTTAATTTTAAATAATTTTTATTGACTAAATTGGAGGGAGGGTCATTCCAAAGTCACAGCTGCTTGGTAAGGTAGACTGAAGCACATGGTCAATCATGTACCAAAATAAGAGGACTATGTCGAAATTAGAATACTCAGCCAGTAATTTTGCATAATCAAATAATTAGAGGTAATTTTGTGAAAATTTAAAAAAAAATATTTAATTTGACGAAGTTAGAGTGTTGAATATTTAGAAAATTTACGGTAATTTCACATATTCAAATGAATTGGTTCAAAATAATTATCACTATTATCATTACATTCAGTACTATTGACACATTTACGCATGCATAGTTTTAATTGACTATAATCAAACTGTGTCGTTATAATAAGACACCAAAAAAAAAATAATGTACAGCTCATTTGTCAGTAGCTACTATTTACTGTATTTCAAGATATACACTATAAATCCA